CCGCCCGGGACTACCGCCTGCCCGGCCCGGGGCCTCGGCTCCTCCCCGCCCCGGCCCATGCCCCTGCACTGCGGCCCTTAGGGAGCCTGTGGGGTCCCAACCCGCAATCACGCCATGTGGTGGCCTTATGACGTCACGTTTTGCCATATTACATCACTCTAACACAGCACAAGCCTGGTACCCAAACGTGTGAGGGCAAAGTGAAGGCATGATGTCATTGCAGTAGCGCGTGGTGGCATCACCCTATCAGGAGAACTCGCTTCATGTTGTCATTGTGTGGGGGGGGGCAGGCTTTGCCCTCACATAAGAAGGGGTTTTAAACCCGAAAGCTTGCTAAATAGTGTTTTCCTAACTATTGGAGTTGGTCTAATAAAAGATTTCAGATTCACCCGAAGAACCGTGTCTGCCTGGCTCAGTGCAGGCACTTATGACCATCTATCAATTATAGATGAGTAATATAGCTGCATTCATGTATTTATATTGTAAATAGCAATCATATTGATTTGGAAGGACTGCTTTGAGGTGACTGCTGGATTTGTTGAACGGTTCTTGGCTGAAGTCTTCTCAGGAGCCCTGGCTGCAGGTTTTCCTGGGCTCTTGTCTGCTTTCTTAAAGAAAGTGTCCAAGGAAGTTTGGACAGATGTTCTCCAGGGAGATGGGTGACGCAGCGAACTTGGCGTCAGATCAAGCGTCGTAGACAAAACTGACGTCAGAAAGTCATTACGGTGCTGATTTATACATGTCGTAAGTGCCATTTGTTGCAACTCAAAACATCTTAAGGACTGCCTGTACTGTCTGCACTGTGTTTTCTCAACGACTGAGCGCTTGAACTGATCCTGCCCCAGACCCTGCTCAGGCTTGAGAACAAAGTACAATTTGATCCTTGCTGAGTATATAGGAGGTGAGAGAGACTATTCCTCTGTTCTGGGAAAATAATGCATGATAATTCCATATACACCAAAACCAGCAGCGGAAGATTCTTTGAACCAAAAAGTGAGTGAATCCTGTTATCTCCAATGCCTTGATGAAGGGAGTTTGTGCCTGAAAGCTTGCAATTAAAGAATTTTTTTTTTGCAAAAATCCTGTTGGTCTAATAAAAAAAAAATCACCTCTACTACAAGCCCTGATTCCTGTGTGTTCTGGCACTGGGGATGGCAAGTGAATTTCAGAAAGGAACCAAAGCCTTCCCTAGTGCTATTAATGGAGGAAAAACTGGGGGCAACACAGTGAAACTATGACCCAGAGGGTGCAGTTCCACGCGGTCCCATCTGAACTGAATCGTTCCAGTGTAAAAACTGCCTTCTCCATAGTGCAAATCCCAGTAGCCTCCATTAGATGTCCTTCAACTGCTCTCTATGGGTGTCATTTGAAGAATGACTATCTCCAGGAAACAGCAGACCTCCATGTTGTGTCCTAAAACCTACTTAACCAAATGGATCCCGATGAAAAACGTGAAGGAGGGTTGGGTCGTTTCCAGCTTTTTTTTTTTTTTTAAATGAAAATATATCTATTTCCAGCTAAGCCTTTCTATCCACCAACCATATTTAAGACCTTCAGCTCAGTCGTGTCCTCCTTAGGATCCCCCAGTTCCTTATCACTATCAAGTAGGAAACCTGTGTTTCTTTGTGGCGTGCTCTGGGCTGGTAGGAGCTGGCCAAAGAACCGGGATTTGGGCTGTTTGGGTCGGAGGATTCATCCCGTCTAAACTAGGGGCAGGCAATTATTTTGGGCGGAGGGCCGCTTACTGAGTTTTGGCAAGCCATCGAGGGCTGCATGACAGGCAGTGAGGGGCAGATAAATATTAATTTTCTAACTTTTTTAGGGGCTCCGCGGGCCGGATAGAATAGCCTGGTGGGCCACATCTGGCCCGCGGGCTGCATTTTGCCCACCCCTGGTCTAAGCGACATCACCAAAGACCTAAAAAACCTTTCTAGTGCCTCTTCCAGCGACCCAAGGGAGCGCAGTGGGACCCTCTCCCCCCGCCTCAATCCCAATCTGTCTTCTCAGGACAGGCCAGGAACAAGGAGCAGTGGGCATCAACCTGCTCCCAAGGCCCTAAAAAATAGCCAAGTCCTGCCCTCCACACCTTGCCCTGTGCCCCTGCCAGCTGCCCGTGCCTAGGAGTCCCCCAGGCAGTAGGAAGGGCTGCAGGAAGAACCCGGGGGCGGGGCCAGGTTTCCCGCCGGAGCCTGTATCTGGGGGCGCCGGCGTGGGGCCGGGTTTCCCGCCGGAGCGCTTATCTCGGGCGCCGGCGCGGGGCAGCAGGAAGTCACCATGTCGAGTCTGCACAAGAGCAGGTGGGGCCGGCTC